TCTCACCACCTTCGGGCTCATTTTCCTCATTTTTCGGCTCTTCCATAGTCGATCCTTCTCACACAAAGGGATAAGACAACGTTCCCACCTGTACCAATCTCTCACCATCACTACGCTCCCCCCTCTCGCCTCATACCTTCAACATCTGACAAGTCACCAAAGGGTAAGGTTACCTCCAGAGTGTAGTATGGTTCTAATTCTCTAAATGTCACGTCCATACTCACAAACAATCTCTTCTCTATTGAGCTCCAACAAACATACATTTCTGAGTGACATAATAACCCGCAAGAATACAATTCAAAGCTCTGAGATCCAGCTTCCATATTGAAGTTCTATTATCCTTTACAAAACATACACAACCAAATACCTTCATGGAAGGATCCCGCCATTATCTCCTTTCAATAATTCACTAGGAGGTCGTCACTCCAATATTCTTGAGAGCATTTTGTTGATCAATTGAGCGGTTGTCAAAATAGCTTGCCCCTACAAGTGTTTTGAAACATTCATCGAGATCATGATGCTTTTGACTACCTCTAGAAGGTGTCTATTATTCCACTCTACTACGTTGTTTTGTGTTGGTATGTATGGATAAGTGGTTTAATGTTGTATCCCTTATGCAGACAGATACTCCCCAAACTTCTTGTAGGTATACTGTCTCGTTATTAGACCTCAATATCATCATTTCACTGTATTGAGTCTGAATTACCTTGTGAAAGTCTTTAAAACAGGCAAGCACATCATTTTTGTTTTTCATCGGATATAACTAACACAAGAAAAACAATCAATGAAAGTCACAAAATATATGTAGCCATTCACTTAAGTTGTAGAATAAGGTCCCCATACATCTGAGTGTATCAAATCAAAAATACAACTCTTATTACTATATCTAACATAAGAGCTCTTAGTGTGCTTAGCAAACTCACAGGCATTACATATAAGTTTTTGTTTATTTGTCTTTTCATACAAAGACAAATACAAAAAACTCAACAAACTAAATGAAGAGTGTCTCATGCACTTGTGATGCACCAGCAACACATCCTCCACACTCCTCTTAGATCTCCTACTCCAACACTCTCTACCATGGTTGTTAAGGCCAAATTCATCCCCTCTCTATCCAAGTACCAGAGTCCACTATGTCATGTGCAGTTCCAAGTCTCTAGACAATCAATGAGTTTTAAGTAAGTTTATTCATTCATTTAATTGGAATAATCACTTAATATTAGAGTACCATCTAATATTTTTAGAATTTTTCATATTGTTTCACGGTCAATGATCCCATGGCTCTAGGTTCATGTTATCATGTATGACATATGTGCTTCATAAATGAAGAACTCATAAGAACCGTTAAAATAGCACAATGTAAGTTATGCTAAAAAATAACGAACTAGAAAGAGAGCGACAAGCTCGAAATCAGCTGCATCAAATCATTATTACCAACAGAAGCAAAACCGCACATATCTAATCCCAATTTCTAATTAGTAAACTCCCCTAAAACAAATTTAATCTTGCCACTTTGGCTGCCCATCTTTCAATTTGCCTAAGATCGTTACACTAGTTCAGCTCCAGGTCGAATTAATGCCTCATCTTCCTGATATTGTCCATTCAAACTATTTCAATATACCGCGTAAAAGTCGCTTTCAAAATTTTCTCTTCGGCATAATTATTGGATTTATGTTTTGTTATTTTGACCCCCAATTAATGAACTAAAGTAAAAGGGCACTTTTGTAATGTGGTACCGCTCACCTACCACATCTCACCTACCGC